CCCCCCCCCCAGACCTCCCCAACCCTCTGGACCCCCCGGGACCCCTCCCGGAGCCCAGAACCGCCCCACGAGCCCTTTGATCCCCCCTGAGCCTCTGGACCCTCCCCAACGCCCTGGACACCCACCTGACTCCCAGAACCCTCCAGGGTCCCCCAATCCCTCTGGACCCCCACCCGACCCCCAGACACACCCCCACCCAGCCCCCAGTACAGCCCTGGACCCCCACCTGTCCCACAGGCCCCTTGACCCCCACCCAACAGACAGCTCCCCTGACCCTCCCCCCCCGATGCCCGCAACCCCCCAGAATTACTCCTGGACCCCTCTGGACCCGCACGGATGTCCACCCGACCCCCCTGGGACCCCTGATCCCAGAGCCCCCCTGCCCCCCAAACCACCCCTGCCCCCTGCTCGGTCCCAAAAACCAAGCCCGGACCCCCACACTCAACCCCCCGAAGCCCACCCTTGAACCCCCATGCAGCCCCCAAATCCCTCCCCACCCCCTGAACCCCCATCCTCCCCTTGACGCCCGCCCGGCCTCCCCTCTCCGCAGGATCCGAGTGAAGAAGTCCCGGGGGCGGCACGGGTGCAAGGGGCCGGCTCTCTGCCAGGGGGGCTGCCAGGCCATTGTGGACACGGGCACCTCCCTCATCACGGGGCCCGTCAAGGAGATCAAGAGGCTGCACAAAGCCCTGGGGCCCTTCCACGCCCAGGGTGGGCAGGTAAGGGGGCCGGACGCCTGGGTTCCAGCCAAGGGGCCTAGGGGTTAGAGCCGGGGGTGGGGCTGGGAGCCAGGACTCCTGGGTTCTCTCCCTGGTTCTGGGAGGGGAGTGGGGTCTGGTGGTTAGAGCAGGGGGACTGGGGGCCAGGACTCCTGGGTTCTCCCCCCGGCTCTGGGAGGGTAGCGGGGTCTAGTGGTTAGAGCAGAGGGGGGGGCTGGGAGCCAGGACTCCTGGGTTCTCGAGCATGCTGCGCCCCCTGCTGGCTGTGGTGGGAGGGCTGTCTAACACCCCCCACGCTCTCCCCCAGTACCTGCTGGATTGTGACCAGCTCCCAGGCCTGCCCGAGGTCTCCTTCGTGCTGGGCGGGAAGCCCTTCAACCTGACGGGGGAGCAGTACATGCTGAAGGTGAGGCCCCCCCAGGGGCGATGCTGGGACAGGCTGGGCCCATGGCGGGCTGGGGGCGGCTGCTGGGATTGTCTGGCCTGAGGGGTGCTGTGACTTGGGCAGGGGCATGGGGAGAGAGGGGGGCCACGGGGTGTCATGCTGGAGGGCGCTGGGCCCAAGGGGGGCAGGGGGCAGTGGTGGGGGGCGCTGGGCCCAATGGGGGGTGGAGGGCAGTGCTGGGGGGGCACTGGGCCCATGGGGGGCGTGGAATGGGCCCATTCGGTGGAAAGGGGGGCAGTGCTGGGGGAGCGCTGGGCCTGGGGTGGAGAGGGGCGTGGGATGGGCCCATTGGGGGCAAGGGGGTGACACTGGGCTCACGGGGTGAGGGGGCATGGGCCCATGGGGGGCAAGGAGTCAGTGCTGGGGGGCGCTGGGCCTGCGGGGAGGGGGGCGTGGGATGGGATGGGCCCATGGGGGGAGGGGGGCCAGGGGGTGCCGTGCTGGGCACCCAGGGTGGAAGGGGTGGCAGGTTGCTGGCCCCACAGGGCTCAGGCCCGGCCTGACCCCCTCCCCCATTCCCCCCCCCAGGTGACACAGCTAGGCATCACCATCTGCATCAGCGGGTTCATGGCCCTGGACGTGGCCCCCCCCGCCGGCCCCCTCTGGATCTTGGGGGACGTCTTCCTGGGCCAGTACTACACGGTGTTCGACCGGGACCGGGACCGCGTGGGGCTGGCGCGGGCCAAGTCGCCCCCTCCCCTGGCACCGCGAGAGACGCCCCCACCCAGCACCACAGGGAGCCCCAAAACCCACCCCCCAGCCCTGAGCACCCCCCAGCCAACGACACACACCGGGGCCTCAGGACACCTGGGTTCCACCCGCAGCTCCGGGAGGGGAGGGGGGTCTAGTGGTTAGAGCGGGGGGGCGGGGCTGGTGTCACAAAGTGCGGGGAGTCAGGGCCCTGCACCCCCCACTTCCTGTGATTCACCAGGACTCTCAGCCGGCCAGTAACACAGAAGGTTTATTAGCCGACAGGAACAGCCCAAAACAGAGCTTATGGGTACAGACAACAGGACCCCTCAGCCAGGTCCCTCTTGGGGGGTGGGGAGCCCAGACCCCGGTTCTTGGCCTCCCCCTCCCCCAGCCAGCCCCAAACTGAAACCGCCTCCCACTGCCTCCCCCCGCCCCGCCCCCAGCCCCACTCCCAGCCTTTGTCCAGGTGTCACCTGCCCCCCCGCCCCTCAGGTTACGCAGGGCAGCTGCCACCCCTTCCATGCTGGCCATCAGGTATCATTGCTCGGCGAAGTCACCCCCTTATTTCCCATCCCCATCTAGTTTTGGTGCAGTACCCCAGGGAAACTGAGGCACGCCCCATCTCAGCTTGCTGGGCCGGGGTCAGCCGATCCAAGAGGGGAATTGTTTCCGGGGGGAGCCAGCTCTTGTCCCAGGGAATAGATCTACTAACGGGTCATCCCCCTGCCCACACACGGCCAACACCACATTCCCCCTGTCATATGGCTTCATCATATTGACATGGTACACCCGGCGGTGGTGCGCCCAGTTCGACAGCTCCACCACGTAGTTTACCTCATTTAGCTTCTTGACAACCTTGAAGGGCCCTTCCCAGGCGACCTGGAGTTTGTTTTTCCTCACGGGGATGAGACCCATCACCTGATCCCCGGTGGCGAAGGCGCGGGCCCGCGCCGTGCGGTCATACAAGACCTGCTTCCTCTGGGCTGTGGCCAGATTTTCCCTGGCCAGGCCCATGAGCTCGGCAAGTCGTTCCCGGAAGGTCAGGACATACTCCACCACCGACTCTCCATCCGGAGTGGCCTTCCCCTCCCATTCGGCTCTCATCAGGTCCAGGGGCCCCCTTCCCCTCCTGCCGTATAACAGTTCGAAAGGCGAAAACCCGGTAGACTCCTGGGGCACTTCCCTGTACGCGAACAGCAGGTGGGGTAAATACTTGTCCCAGTCCTGCGGGTGCTGGTCCGTAAAGGTTTTCAGCATCATCTTTAGCGTCCCGTTGAACCTCGCCACCAGCCCCTTGGACTGGGGGTGACACGCTGAGGCCCAGGTGTGCCGGACCCCACATTTCTCCCCAAGCACCGGAGCAGGGCCGACAGGAAGTTGGATCCCTGGTCTGTCAAGGCTTCCTTGGGGAACCCCACTCGGCTGAAGATGGTCAGCAGCATGTCAGCCACGGTGTCTGCTTCGATCGAGGACAAGGCCACCGCCTCGGGGTAGCGCGTAGCGATATCTACCACCACCAGGATGTATTTCTTCCCCAACCGGGTCGTCTGGCTGAGAGGCCCCACTATGTCCATGGCCACCTTCTGGAAAGGCTCCTCTATGATGGGGAAAGGCCTCAAAGCCGCTTTCCCCTTGTCCCGGGCCGTCCCCACCCTCTGGCAGGGGTCACAGGATCGGCAGTACTGCCGGACGTTGGTAAAGACCCCAGGCCAGTCAAAGTTCTGTAGCAGCCTCTGCCTGGTGCGCCGGATCCCCTGGTGCCCTGCGAGAGGGATGTCATGGGCCAGGTTCAGCAGCTGGGGGCGATACTTCTGGGGGGCCACCAGCTGCCTCCTGATCCCCCACGACTCCACTTCCCCTGGGGGAGCCCATTCTCGGTACAGGAACCCCTTCTCCCACAGGAACCTCTCCTGGCAGCCTCTCCCCATGGTCTGTGCCGCACCGAGGTCGGCCAGGTCCCTTAGCTTCCGCAAGGAGGGATCTTTCTGCACCTCGGCCTGGAACTCCGCAGCTGGGACAGGGATGGCCACCTGCTCTTTCTCGCCGGCTGGGTCTGAAGCCGCAGCCCCTCTGAGCCTTGTCCCTGGGCGCTCCCTCCCCACCAGGTTAGGGGCCTGCGCCTCCAGCGAGGTACCTTCCCCGAGGTCAGGGCGCCGTGCCACTCGCCGGCTCTGGCTACGGCTCAGCCCCAGGGTGTTCCGGGGGTTGCTTGGCCAATCCTCTAGGTCACCCCCCATCAACACATCAGTGGACAAATGGTGGTGCACCCCCACGTCCTTAGGGCCCTCCTTGGCCCCCCATTTCAGATGTACCCTCGCCACGGGCACCTTGAATGGGGTCCCGCCCACTCCCAGCAGGGTCAGGTAGGTGTCGGGCACCACACGATCTGGGGCCATCACCTCGGGCCGGGCCAGCGTCACCTCCGCGCCCGTATCCCAGTATCCATCGACCTTCCTCCCATCCACCTCCAGGGGAACAAGGCACTCGCGCCGCAGGGACAGCCCCATGCCCCCCCTGTAAACTGAAGAGCTGGTCTGGGGCACTCCTCCCTCCTGAGCCGTTGGGAAGCTGCCAGCCCCCCCTGCCTGGGGAGCCGGCCCCTCCTCCCTCGCCCAGTTAACCCGGTGTGGGCTCGGTCTGCTCAGTCTGTCCTTGAGCGTGGGGCACTGGGGCCGTATGTGGCCTCTCTGCCCACAGTGATAACAAATCACCTTCTGTTGGCGGTTGGTCCTGACGCTGGATGTTCCCCTTGGGAGGGGGTTCTCCATATTCCCCCATTGGGAGGTCCCAGCGTGACTCTCTCTCTGCGTTGTGGCGGGCCTGTTCCTTTGGGACTCCTCCCTGTCATCCCCTCCCTGACTGTCCACAAACTCGTCGGCCAGCCGCCCTGCGTGCTGCGGGTTCTCTGGCTTCTGGTCCATCAACCATCGCCTCAGGTCAGGTGGGCACTGCTCATACACGTGTTCCAGTACGAATAGGTCAAGCAGGTCCTCCTTCGTCTGGGCCCCATCTGCCCACTTGCTGGCATATCCCTTCATCCGGAGGGCCAGTGTTAGATATGTGACCTCAGGGGTTTTACGCAGACTCCGGAACTTTTTCCG